GGGGTGCCCTGCATGCTTGGCAGCGGACTTGACAGTGGACTGGAGGTAATTCTGGTCCACTTCTGGGTCCGCTGTCGAGCACGTGGGGGACCCTCCCCCCCACTGCCATGGGACACGCCATTCACTCCACAATCTCAGCATTCACGAGTTACGCCTGGTACCTTGAGGTGCATAGAAAAAACATATACAGCTGTCTACTGCCAAATCATTGAATCTCTCCAAATTGAATTGGAGGCATCTAATTCGATCTGAAGAGATTAACAGGTCTCCTGATTTGATATGGAGATTCGTCTGCCAAATTGGGCCGAATCTCCTCCAAATCAAATCAATGACCAAAGCTTTGCACAGCCCTACTGCACAGTAGTAATGAGCTACTGTGCAGTCAGCATCATGAAAAAGCCATTTGGCAATGGTACTGCACAGTAACTGCAGTTACTGCACAATCATTCAGTACTTGTATAAATAAGTACTATTGCTTATACAAGTACTAAATGACTCCACAGTAACAAGTGTGCAATCAGTATCTCATGCAGATGTGGCTACAAGGAAGTAAAACTTGTTAGAACAAGTTTTAGGTAATTGTCTCATGGAGTATGGGGGTAAGACAGATGCTATTACAGGTAGCAAAATGTAGTGCTATGCAAAGATGCTTGCACTCTAGCAGTTACACCCCAAGGAATTATGCACAGAAAAAATCAAAATAATGTGCAGAACAACTCAAAATGATGCAAAATTAATTACTTCTATTTTTTTTACAAATTAAACTAAATATAGCACTATTTGAACCTTTTTTAGAAATATATGAAGGTACTTTGTATGGTTGGGGGGTGCGTGTGGGGTGTGTGTATGGGGGGATTTATGAAGGTGTAAGGTTGTGTGTATTGGGAGGGTTGTGGATGAGTGTGGGGTTTGTGATGGGTGTGCGGTTTATGGGGGGTGTGAGTGTAGGAGTTTGTGAGGTTTGAGGGTGGGTGTGGGGGTTGTGGTGGGGGTTGTGAAAGGGTGTGGGCTTGTAGGTAGGTATGGGCCCCCCCCACATTCCCCTCCTCACATGGTGCACAGCCCCTGCCGCTGGTGGCTCAGCAGCAGCAGGCAACAGGCCCTCAGGGCGCTCATAGCCACAGCAGGCAGAGCTCTCGGCAGCACGCATCTCTGGCTGAATCCCAGGGCCTGCATGTGCTGGCATGGAATTGGCCCCCAGCTCACCGGTGTGCATCTTCACACCAGATAAGGCTGGCTCTGTGCCAGCATGTGGGGCTTGCAGCACTGCAGGCAGGAGCCGCATGCCATTGGGCCGGGTGGGCTCCATGGCTCTCTGGGTGGCTTCCCACTGGAGTGTTGGAAGCCCCACGTAGAGGCACTGAGCTGGCCGGCCTGGCCCAATGGTGCATGGCCCATATACACCCACAAACCCCACACCCAGCCACACCCCTCCATGCCCACCCCTCCTCCTGCAGGCAGGAGCTCCCTTCCTCACTTATCCAGCTGTCCAAGCATGCAGTTCTCCACATCATAAAAGTAGAGGCATAAATCCAGCTGCAGTTAAATTATGCAAAATTATGCAATTATTATGCCTTTCATGCACAAAATTGTGTGGGTGCATAATTGCATAATTCCCCAGGGTGTAAGCATGGCTGTCTCCAGGACTAATTAGCCTGGGTGGGGAATTGGACTTGCACAACTACAGGTACCCACACTAGCTGTCTTTATGACATGGTAGCCTAGTACACATAATAAAAAGACAGTTTAAATTGGAAAATGTGCCTGTCCTAGGGAGTATTTAATATTATTTGGCAAACACCACCACCCAAGGTTTGGAATTACAGACTGAAGCTGGAACTGCAAATCAATATCAACAAAGCTTATGTCTATAATTAAGGCATTTCTAGCTTCTCCTTTTTGGGAGCTGCCTAATGTTTTCTCCTAAAAGCACCACAGGTTCAGTACATTTGCATGTTATTTTTGCCTGATGGAGCAGAGACTTCATGAGACAAAAGGTATATGCTGTAAAACCGATTTTCAATTGCAATGGTCCATGTACCACTGCTCTGAAAATATTGTCTTTTATTGAAGTGTCATTGTCGATCTATTAACAAGTCAGTACCATAAAATGCTTATTTTCTAGACATCAGGGAAGCAAAGGAACGAGTCTGTCCAGAATAAAATCCTCACAAAGTCAGTGAAGGCATTAGGTTCTCATTTGGTGTAAATGAGCACTGTTTTTACTTGAAACTATGCTGATTTGCACAGGCTTAATATGTGGCTCAGGGTTTCTTAGGACTCAATTTTGCAAGGCACTGCTACCTGCCAGCACGTGGTGATTGTATTCAGCACCTCACATGATGTAGAATCAAGTCATGGAAGGTCCCTGAAGAGAATGGCACCATTCTACACACACACACACACACACACACACACACACACACACACACACACTCTCTCTCTCTCTCTCTCTCTCTCTCTCTCTCTCTCTCTCTCTCTCTCTCTCTCTCTCTCTCTCTCTCTCTCTCTCTCTCTCTCTCTCTCTCTCTCTCTCTCTCTCTCTCTCTCTCTCTCTCTCTCTCTCTCTCTCTCTCTCTCTCTCTCTCTCTCTCTCTCTCTCTCTCTCTCTCTCTCTCTCTCTCTCTCTCTCTCTCTCTCTCTCTCTCTCTCTCTCTCTCTCTCTCTCTCTCTCTCTCTCTCTCTCTCTCTCTCTCTCTCTCTCTCTCTCTCTCTCTCTCTCTCTCTCTCTCTCTCTCTCTCTCTCTCTCTCTCTCTCTCTCTCTCTCTCTCTCTCTCTCTCTCTCTCTCTCTCTCTCTCTCTCTCTCTCTCTCTCTCTCTCTCTCTCTCTCTCTCTCTCTCTCTCTCTCTCTCTCTCTCTCTCTCTCTCTCTCTCTCTCATCATTTCAGCACATGCTCATCTCACTCTACCTGATCTTAGGGCTTATCTACATGTAAAAGGTAAGTCACATTATGACAGATTGTGCATTTAAAACACTGCAATATCATCAAGTAACTCCATATGTAGGCAAACACTAATAAAACAGTCCAGAACAATTCTGGGAAGGAAATGGGGAAATGCAGCACTTGTTGCCACTTGGCATAGGTTATTGTCTTCAAGCCTTACAGGAAAGAAGATAGAACTTCCTTACCTCTTTTATGTGAAACAGGGTTAAAAGGTATCAGATGTTTCTTTCCTACTTCCTCCCTTACCTCAGAAATATAAATACTAAAGTGGTAAAACATGCACACAGGGTAACATACAAATGTAGTCATACAGATGTTGTGGGGGGGAGTTTAAATACATTTTTGAAAGGTATAAACTAACAGAGTAAGGTGCGAGGGTCGTGTTTTATTACATTCTGACTAATAGCCTTTGAAAGGGTCCTGAAGGTAATGTTAAATGCTGAGGCATCTGTCAAAGAGTTCTCAAAGTCAAATGCTGGAAGCAGATGTGCTTGCAGTTGCTCACATTGATTTTGAATGTTCAGTGTAAATCTTAGACTGCAAAAGTTCTCCATTGTTCTCACTTCTCATTCAGGTACAACTAATGCACTCAGCATTTTCCATCATCGCTCATTCAACTATGGAAGAGATATGTTCCTAATTATCTCTGGTTTTGCAGAACATTAACTGCTGCTCATTTATTTTGCTGGCTTTAGAGCAAATTTCAGGCAAATAAAGTGTAAATAAGATACAGAATATCCAGTGATGCCCTGTTATTTAGAGATAATACGGAATGGGAGTGTGCTTATTTCTGAACAACTGGCAACAAGGTGCATAGCCATTTCCCAAGATGTATATTTTCCATTCTATTATAAAAACATTTCTATTACTCATTTCTGCACTGAAACGGAACAAATCTAAATCTTCCGTGTTTGGATTTAAAATATGCAGGCCAGATCTTTAAAGACTCATGTAGTTTGTCTTTTATTTTGTTCTTGAGGGGAAAACTGAACCTGAAATCGTATCTTTTTTTGATATCTACAATTGCTTGACTGAAGGCAACAATTAACGTATTATTTAAATGACAGGATTTGCCCTTATAATTTAAATATGGATTGCAAAAAATGTTGCATCTTTGCCTGAGTGGAAATTGAGTCCACAAAAAGTGTTGTGCTCTTTAAAAATGTATGACTAAAAGAGCAAACCAAGTAGGCTCAGCCCAAGAATGTGAGCCTTTGTAATGTGCCTAAGAACTGATCCTCCTATTTTTCTACTAGGTGACTAAAGGATGGCAGTAAAATTAATGAGAGGCAAGTATGTTTTGTGATATCTTCTACTGGACCAACTGTACAGTTGGGAGAACTGTTGGATGAGCTTTTGGGGCATGTAGGGCTCCTATACTACTATACGCTTTTTGGGAATGTAGGGCTTCCCCTGCGGTGGGGCGGGGGGTGCTTTAGAGTGGCTCTCAGAGCCTGCAGTATCACGTGTATTCAATACCCCGCGCTTCAAAATGGCAATGGGTGTGCTTGGACTAAAGCTAATTTAGTTAAAGTGCCCCCACCACCATTTTGAAACACAGGGGTGCTGAATACACGTGACGTGAAGGCTGTTGGAGTGTGCTGATTAGCATGCTGCAGCAGACTCGTAGCAAACTCAGTTAATCAAGTCTGCTCCAACACACGCTAATTAGCACATGTTGGAGCAGAGGTCTGTCACGTGTATAGGTGCCCCAAGTGCCCTCCCTCAGATCCCTGAAGAAGGTCACTGTATGCCTGAAACTTGTCCAATAGCTCTTCCAACCACATACTTGATCCAATAAAAGATATTACAAAAAAATCCTTGTCTCTTGTACATTTCCTGGACCAACACAGGTATGACAACATTAAAACTCTAGTAAAATTCACCAAATATTAAACCTAAATGCTTACGAGTCTGAGCCATAATATAGGATGACAGTGAAGGATTCTTCAGTATGCCTGACTTTGACACATTCAAATCAATGGAAACATCACCCTTTACTTTAGTGAGTAAAGAATCCAGCTTTGAAAGAGGAAAACCTGTGACTTCTTACCTGTACACTAGTAAGAGTGGTATATTGGTAAGCTTTGACTACCAGGTAATTGGCTTCTATATCTATTATTCCCAGGATCATGTACTTCCACCATCTTCGTTTCAAAATTGCCAGCAAGTTTTCCTCTCCTGTGGCAGTAAAGGAAACAGGAAAACATTCATAAGCAAACAAACATACAAACAAATAAATCTACACCCACAAAACCTTAATGTAATGAGAGATTGTGCTGTGTGATCTCTTGCAATTACATGACTTGAAAAAATGCAACAGGATGTCAACCCAAGTCCTAAAACACAGTTAAAAACCAATATATTTAAAAAACATTCTAGATCAGGTAAAAACGATCACCTTATTTGTTTTGAAATATCCAATCAGCACAACAAAGAAGGACTAGTTGACTGGGCTTTCAATTCACCTGAGTTTTAAAAAGCTTGCCAGGAAAACAATTGGAGTTTAAACAAATGTTTAAAATGGTCTATCTGGGTGTCATTTTTATGCATTTTATAAGAATATTTTTTGCTCAGTGTATCAATTTAATTTTTGTCTACCAAAGAACCATGACTATGTAACACATGACCTGAAAGGTTCTCATTTAAAGTTGGAGCTTAATAGTGCATAAGGGTAAAAGAGAAATAAAGGTAGTAAGAGAATAAAATTGGAGCTAATTACAAAGTTTAAAAGACAGCTATTGTGAACTTAGGTCCAAAACACTGGACTCTTAGGGCATTTTTACATGTGTTTTGGGATGTGGTGCTGAGCACTTTAATTAGTGAGTTGCACTAATGAAAAGCGCATGTGTCAGGTGTATCGGTGTCCCGGTGCTGAAAAAATGGTGGTGGGGCGCTTTGAGCTAAAGCTCAAACGTAGTTTATTTTAAAACGCCCCACTGCCATTTGTTAAGTACAGGGATGCGCGGGGATGCTGGTACACATGACACAGAAGGCTGCCAGAGTGCATCACTTTCTGTGCGCCAGCAGATTTGATTAAATGACTCTTCTCCGACGTGCTGGAAATCCCTGCATGTCTACAGGAGCTCCTTAACACTGTTTAGAGAAAGGTTGCTCTGAGATAAACAGGTTGTGCATGACGGGTAGCTCTGCTTGCAGAATCAATTTGTGAAGCAGGCAGATTTGTTCTACAATGCCCTTGTAGAGGAATCCTGTCAATCACACAGTACTTAATTTCTACTGTGTGAAGACTGTCACCGCAACATGGCTTACAGATCAAATCCACAACTTCTGAAAGGTCAAACAGTCCTAATGTTAGGCCAAGGATTATTACTGGTCTCACTTCAAAAAGAAACCAAATACTTAGTGAAAATGGGCAAACCTATTAGTATTTACAGGCATTATGCAAACATCTATTAATGAAAACTGGAAATCCATGGTGGGTACAGGTGTACATATAGACCCACAACCACTAAAGAGGTTATAGTCTACAAAGGGATATAATAAGAGTTGACTTGAACCATTGGCATAATTTTTCAGATAAATTTGAATCATTTGGGGAACTTAAAAAGATACTGTTAATACATTTTTGCAGATCTGCATGTGTCTGCACACCTTTTTTAGTGTCAGGTACAACAACAATTAGCAACAGACAAACTAGGATAAGTAAAAAAGAAATATTCTGAACCATTTTGACAACCAGCACCAAAACTTTGGAAAGTCTGAAAAAGTTTGGGCATCTTTCTCAGCTGCACTTTCATTTATTTTTCATTGTTATGTATGCCTCTACATCTCTAGATTCCAGCTGGAAAAGACACACTGTCAACCAGTGAAAAATGTGGGTCTCTGTATTTCTGGTGCACAGAGAAGCAGAAATATCAGAGATATGAAAACTCAGACCTATTGCTGTACACAAGAGGGGCAAATACTTCAGATACTCATTCAAAAGCTTGGACATGAAAACAGCCCCACTGAAATCAATGGGAATTCTGCCACTGACTTCAACAGATTTCACCAAGTGTTTGTCTCTGAAGGAAACCTTGAATTATTTGATGCTTGTTCATTAACAAATACATCCACACACATTTGTTATAATGGGGCATCATTAAGCAAATCCTGATGATCTGCTGTTGGCAGTGACAGTGAGAATGTAAAATTCAACAGATAAAAACAGACTTTGTTTATGTAGTAAGAAGAAGAGAAACAGCAGGAGTCAGGACCTAGATTATACTAAGTATTTTGCCCAGACAACAGGCAATAAGTAATTTAAAAAACTGGATCTGAATAAATTGGTCCCTTTCAGCACATCATACGTTTCCATCAACCTTTATGCTCTAAATGAGCTCTGACTAGAAAAAAAACATTTTGTTTATGCTGCTGTATAGGTGCATGAGTAAGTTTAGGTATTTATCATGTCTGTTTAAACATACAAAAAAATAATTCCTTTTTTGGATGTTTGCTTTTTGAACATTAAAGAATGAATTTTGAAATCAGCTTTTGGGGATTTAGCTGTGTGATTCCCATCAACATCAGCGCAAGTAATTCAGGTAAATCCCTTCCCAGGATTTTGAAAATAGTTTGGATTTACAATGCCAAAATGATTTGACATACCTAGAAAATACCCAACTAAAAAGTGTCGGCAGAATGGAACGACATGCTTACGGCATTAAAGTAATTTTTTCTTAGCTTAAAAATTAAAAGAACAATGGAATCAAACTAAGGAAAGGTATAGAATTCATTGATACACTTAGTGCACTGTGCATGGCATTAACACAATATATTGGTAGCTAAATTAACACTGACACTTGTCAGAGTTAAGGTTCCAAAAGCACTTAGGATCATGCTTAACTTCAAGTACCTGTTTGTGCCCATCCCTATTCAGAGGAACACATAAGCTTGTGATTAACATTAAGCTTGTTTGTATCCCTTGTCACATGCTTTAGCACATTGCAGAAGCACAGCCTAATTCCTATCCTTTGTGCTTCCTGGCTTCCTTAAGAAAAGACACATAAATGCTAGGTACAGACATTCAAAGAGCCCAAGAATCGATCTAAAGTTATACAGTTTTCTTTAAATGGCATAGTTTATATTGGTAGCAAACAGAATACACATTCATGCTTTGGTGGGGGGAGCAAATCTTAGACCAGGTTCCATACTTTTTAAACCAGTCTGTGTGTGCTGAACATCTGTTCTGTTCTGGGTACAGACCAGTTCTGTGTGCCGAACTTCTGTTCTGTTATGGATATAGACTGGTTTCTGATTGCTTATACTGGTAAATGTGTAATATCTAAACCTGGCCAAAAGGGGCTTATGACAGAACTACACCCTCAGATTTGCTGCTAGGGATGTTGGAGGACAGAAAAAACATAGAAGCAGCTTCAATGGGCTATCCCTTTGCATATATGGTCCTGCCCTCCATAGATGTGCTGAGATCTGCAGGTTTTCTACTGGATTTGGAGGCAATTCTGCAGTCAGAGGGCCATGCTCCTCTCCATCTTCTGGAGCTGTACAAACTTTGGATCAGTGATCTCATATTATATTATGAAATCAGTAAGGAGAGGCTTACAGAGATTTCCAGGCAAATCTGCCCTCCCTGTGCATTTTCTACAGAAGGATATGATAGACACTATGACAAAGGACAGAAATTACACTTAACCCAGTAGAAGTGATCAGAAACTGGTTCAAATCTGTAACACAACAGAAGTTCAGTACACATAAACCACTTTCAAAATGGACAAAACTGGTTTAAGATTAACCTGGATAGATGTAGTATGACAGGAAACTGATTTAAGTTAACTCTGTCCCACATCCCCTCCAGACTGAAATTAACTCACAGTTCCCCACCATTCCAGGACGCTTTTCACCTCCCCTGCAAACCTCTGCTTGCAGGGTGGGCAGACTAACCTTGGCCCAAGTTGTCTCCTTCAGACAGGCAGGGAGGTGTGCTCCAGCATCCCCCCAGCTTCTGGCCTGGGCCACTACAGGCATGTGGCTGCATTTCCAGAATCAAAAGTGAATGTCTGTTCACTTGCTTATTGGTTCAATCTATGCAGCTTAGACTAACCTGCAAAGACTGAATTGATTCAGCCTCAGGTGTTCTGACTGTCTGTACTTAGCCTATAGAGTTAGGATTAGTTTTCCAAGGCAAGATGGGGACATCTCATTGACTTAAACCTAGACTGGACAACATGGTAGAGAATATGCAGTAACGAACAATGCTGCATTACCTTCAAAGACACAAACTAGATCTGCCAGCTCTTTTCTATTTCTGATTCTTATGGCTGCAGTATGAGATCTATAATATTTTACAGAGAAGTTCAGTTTTCTAAGACAGGGTAGGAGAAACTCTGAGCATAAGGAATGTGAAGTGGAGAGAACAAAAATAAAGACCAAGGCAAAAGAACTGCTTTAGCTTGAAAGATCAAAACACTCTTAAAATACAAAGTGCTGCAGTAACTATAGATTGCAATGTTATTTACCATTATACTAAGGCTCTTTTTTCAATTTTAGATATAGCACTATTGGGAACTGAATTGAGCAACCTTGTGGTTGACATGGCATTGAACTGATTTAAATATGTAGAATCTGTTCTCTCACGGATGCAATGAAAAGTGAATTTTGCACAAGTGACTACTATCAATGGTAGTAGGAGCAGTGTTGTAAATCCTTTTGCTCTAACTAGAGAACAGGTCCATTAACTATGAAATAAACAGAACGTTACAAGAAAGGCTGTTATCAATAATCTGAAATGGGAGAAACAGGATTATGGCCTCCCCTCTCCCTCCCCCCCATCCCCATAAGTCACAGACAACAAAATAGCCATCCCCAAATAAATCAAGTATGCTGAAACTGATGAGTAGTTTTGGTCTTTTTTGTTTTCCAATTTCACTTTGGTGGTGAATGTGTGTATGTGTGTACTTGTGTAAAAATTTTGCAAAAGTCCTTGACACAATAATCATAGAAAAAAGCTAACTAGTGACTATCTAATGCTGCATAGTGGTGGTGATGCTAGCAACTTTTTGCCCTATAGCCCAGTGGTTAAGGACATCCTGGACACATCTACATGTGAAATTAATAAGCAGCAATAAACTCTGGTGTATATTGCACCAGAGTTTATTGTTCCCAGGCACCACGTTTACACATGTGCCCAGGACACTCAGCCCAGGGCTGCTCTGACCTGG